TTTAGTAGGAGCCAGGGATGGCCCCATTTCCGCATAATCGGGTAGCCCTTTCCTTAATGAACCAGGAGATTGAGGATATTGTTGAGGTATACGCCGTATTTATCCATATTAGAGAAACATAATAGAAACGGGGTATTTACCGGGACGACTTGGAAGTCGATCAAGCCGAACGGGGTCTCTACGGATACCGTTCCGAGAGATACACTCTCTGGGTTATTACCGAAGCGTACGCGGTGCTTTCCGGCCGTTGATATATCGATCTTAGTGCCCGGGATCTTCTTCTGTAGTGCCTTAACTTGGTTCTCACCGGCTATTAATATACCGGCTACGCCTGTATCGGGTATAATGCCTTGGAAGATCTCTGAGTCATAGCGGCTTTTGAAGTAAAAGAGTGATGCGGGCTCTTCCGGGGGTTGCACAAACGGGTTGGCTTCTATTATCGCGTGCATCGTCGCCTGGTTATTGAGAAGGTCGGCTATCTTCGCGCCGTCAACTAGGCCGTATTCCGTAATAAAGCTCTCCATCTGGGGTATTGATACTTCTGTATTCTTCATAGCGACCTAAGCCTCAAATTCTTATTCTTCATCTAACTCGCTAGTATCGATGCCTTCAAAGTCGATCAAGAATGAGGCGAAGTCTTCTCCTTCTCTACCTTATACCTGCATATAGCGTCGCTACTGGTTTTTCTTTGGTTAGCGTTTAGCGATCGGGTGCTTCGTAGACTAATAGCCCTATTTTCCGTATATAAAGTACTTCTTGATCTTGTTATTAAATAGTCTGCGGGGGCCGTTATCACGTGGTCCATCATATAATCCACCGCTCCAAGAGCTCGCTCGGGAGCCTCCTCTACCAGGCCGTCCGCCTTCATATCGTCGGTCAACCTAGTATTAGTAGGGACCTTCCGATTCATCAGTATTATACTGTTGGAGGGAGGCTTTCTCAAAGCGCATATGTACGCCGATTACGTTCCTCAGTTCGGCAACAACGCTCTCGAATATAGAAGCCGGTTTCATCGATACCAGCTTGCATGCTTCAACACCCTAATATGCGTTAAGTAGCTATTCGGCCAGATCTTCATCTATTCGGTACATGCCTGCGGGCGTTCTACCTACGAGTCCTTTGAAGATCTTCTATAGCTTATTAACGAGGATATCGAAGCACTATGATAGATCCTTATCGGGGTTCTCTTTAATAATACGAGTAAAGGTCGTAGATCGCCACTCTTGGAGATATATCTAACGATCCTCTATAGAGTAGAAGAATACTCTGGTTCGGTTGATCATCTCGTCAAAGGTAAGGTTCTCCTATATCAACCGGTCGAAATAGAATTGTTTAGCTCTATCCTTAAGCATGACTAAGTACACCTTATAGTATAGCTATTATGGGATACCGATAATCTGGTAGTACGCTCCGAAGATCTTGACTTTCGAGTCCAAAATATCGTAGCGTTCGCCTCCAAACTTATCTTCGTCGGTATATATCTTTACAAGGTCTATTAGCATTCGCGATAGCGGTAGTAGTACCGCGTTACTCAGGTATGGAGGTGTCTCGAGGGTTTCGTCTTCATTAGTTAGGTCCACCCGGGGTACGCTCGATCGTTCTGAGAAAGGGGGAGGTATCGAGCCTTCCGTATTCTTAATATTCTTCACTACTAGGGTAAAGGCTCTCTCGGTAACGCCCTTATTAGTTCCTTTATTGGATAAAGTATTATAGAATAACTGGAACTTGTCTCTACGGTTCCTACTATACCGCTCTGCCTCCTCTTCAGGCCATTTAGGAGCTTCTTTATACTAAGCTAGTATAGCGAGCTACTATAATACTAGTCCATCGTTATATATATATATACCGTAGTCGTTAAGGAACTATTTGAGGGTGGTACGGAGGGTCTTATCGAGGGCTTTAAAGTGGTTCTCTTTCTATTTAATAAAGTCTATTCTGAATATTACGAATAGGGCCTCATCTCGTAGTTCGAAGCTCTCGTATACTTCAATACAGTCGACCAGGTAAGTGTTAAGTCTCTTAGGCGTGAGCTGGTCCTCGTCTTCGGGGTCGAAGTCTTGGCCCTACTAGTCGGGGTCGATAATAGTAGCGATACGGCTGTTCGCGCGTAGAGCCGTTATCGTGGTCTTTATCGAGGGATATAGATAGCTGATTAGGGTCAAGCCTTTCTTTCTAGCTGATCGGATCCTTCGCGAGGGGTTGGTTGCGTAATGGACGCAGGTAGCCAAGTAGGGCGTAAGGCCTTTCTTTCGACTACCCTTGAGGTCTTCGTCTCGGTTATCCTGTACGTTAAAGAGTCTCTCTCGCGCTCGTAGTCCTGCGTTCAATTGAGCTTTCTACGTATTCAGTACTCTCTCGAATACAGTCCTTCGTGCCGCTTCCTATCCAGCGATCGTAGGGACCACGATTACTACCGCTATCGGACTCCTTACTATTCTACGGTTAACCTAGTCGGTCAACTACTAATTAGTATTAGAATGACAAGGTCATTCATAATAGTTACTATAGTAACCGTTACGAAAGGTAGGGGTTGGGAGATTAGTAGTATGTTCATTTATCTCTATTCTATTCTATTCACTAGGGTTATAGGGTGCTTGGTGTTTTTGGGGGAGTGGGCTGTCCATAGGGTGGATGGTCCGTGCACACTAAGGTCACGTGCTAGGGCAGGTGACCCGTGTGTCCGGGCCAGGCCCACTATTCTTCCTAACTGACCAATTAGGGCTATGCGGCCCGCCGAGCCGCCTCAGCCTCCGTAACTCTGATTGATCGGTTATTCCTATAAAGAGGCTTTATTTAAGTGGTTAATAATTATAAAGAGGTTATTATACTTATATTTATCCTTTAATAGAGACTTGAAGTTAACGACTAATCCGCTTTAGATTCTCTAGGGTAGTAGGATAAGGTATAATAGGCTAGGAGTCTTATCTTATAGGACCTTAGTAGAGTTATATTTATAATTAACGACGAATCTATCTATATCGGTACTTAGACCCGCCTACTAGTAGAGTTCTTTTAATATTTTCCGTATCTTATTCCTTCTAGGGTAGGCTAAGGGGAGTCGGGAATATATTTCATTAATAATTTAAGTATATAGCTATATTACGTCTAGTACGACGAGTTTATTATTCTAGAGGAGGAGACTATTATAAGTTATCGATAGCTAGTTACCTTCCTAATCTTCGAGTACCTTTATATAATAGACCGATAGGGAATCGTTAAATTTATTAATTTTAAGTAGTTCGTTAAGGAGTTCGTACCCCGAAGATAACGGTACTTCTAAGATTAAGGCTAGTAATAGCGTTACCTTTATTATCGATAAGTACTCCGTCGTCTTTACTAGTACGCCGTTATAATTCTTCTAAAATATCTAGACGGTATAATAGGCGTCCTATCGCTCCTTTTAAGTCTTTAGCTTATAAGAGCGTCGGGTTAGGGCGTTTATTATAGTATTTAACGCTCCTAGACGATAGAGTATTCGGAAATAAAAACTAGTAAGTTCTTCTACCTAACTAGCCTACCTTATATTAAGCCGCTATTTAGTTATAAAGTACTTAAGTATATTATTATCCGAGAAGATAATAAATAGCTCTTCGTATTATAGGCCTATTAGCTCGCTCCGCTAATATTAAAGAGATCGGATAATCGTTAGTAACTCCTTATTATAGATAAAATAGTTAAGTTCGGCCCCTTTTATTATTTTAAAATAAAAGGCTATTAGGTATTACTCGTCTCCGTATTTCTAGCTTAAGACTCCGGTAATTACCCCTCCCGAGGAATCGGTTTTAACGCGGGTTTCCCGACTATATTTAAAGTACTTTAGGACTAGTACCGATATTAGACGGGCTTTTAACTCGTCGAAGGCTAATTAATAATCGTCGCTTTATTTAAATACTTCCCCTTTCTTTATTAGAGTTATTAATAGCTTTATAATCTAATTATAATTACGAATAAATCGGCGGTAGAAGTTATAGAATTTAAGGAAGGATTATACTCCCCTTAAATCGTTCGGCTCCGGCTAGTCTTATATAATATCCGTTTTAGAGGGATTAACTAATACTCTATTAACTCTAATAATAAAGCTTAAGTACTTAGTCTCTCGTATATAGAATTCGTACTTATTAATATCGGCTTATAGGCCGGCTTCCTATAATCGTTATAAAATAAGTCGTATATAGCGGATATACTCTTCCTTAAAGTTTAAATAGATTAAGATATTATCGAGGTAAGCGTTATAGAAGTCGTTAAGGTAACTTATTAAAGAGTTATTAATAAAACGTTAAAATATTATTAGATTATTAATAAGGCTAAAGGGTATAACCTTATAACTAAAGGTCCTATAATAAGTACGGAACGTTATTAATTACTTATCGTCTAGATATATATAGATTCTATAGAATATTTAGCAGATATCGATCTTTATAAAAATACGGGCCTTACTAATATAGCTAAGCGTCTTATTAATTAGAGATAAAGGTATTCGATCTTTTTCTATTAAGGCGTTTAGCTTATAATAATCTATATAGAAGTATAAGCTATTATTAGCCTTTCGGGCGAAGAGGATAAGAGCGGTATTACGAATCCCGTCATATACTAGGCAGCCTGTACGTGCGGGGAGGTCCGGTGCGGGACCCGCCCTGCTAATTAGCGTATGCCCGGTGTAAGAGAGGGCAGGTACGCCTGATTAAGGTGGTCATAATGTAGGCAAGAAGAAGGGCGAGCAATGAGTGGCATTGGTGTAAGACTTCAACCTGGCCCTCGCAAAGGAAGGTGGGCGAGGGCCGCTGCTTATATATATGCTCAGGGGCTCCGTTCCTTATGACGGCAGTAGCTGTGCTAACTGGTAGTGGTCTGGCCAGTTGGTGATAGGTGGTGGGCGTACATAAAGGTGTGCGCACGTGCTTGGGGTGCTCTTTCCTTATAACTATCCCCCCCCCCGTAGATCGACGTCCTCGTCGATCTTGAACCTTATCTGTTGTCCTCCCTCCAATAAGAGCAAAAGCGCCGCGGTAGTATAGTGGTTAATACCCTAGTATCTTTACTAGAGGTCGGGGGTTCGAATCCTCCTCGGGGCATCTTAGTTTATGGGCACTGCCTTCGGGTCGTACTAGTGGATTAATAACTTTTTAGTTATTCCACTTCCTATGCCTTTGTTTTGCTTTTTTCTCGTATCGTTACAGTACCTTCTATACGTTGGCCAAGTGTTCCCTAGGTTCCCAGGTATTATATTCTACTAGCTAGCCTACCCATTTGACTAGGAACCTTTTTCGTTCTCCTTTATCCTTATATTCCACGATATCTTCTACTTACTACTCCTCCTCTCCTTCTACTAGCTCTAGTAGTAGTAGTACCTTCTGGCCTTCGGCTACCGACCACTTTTCTAATAGGGAGACTGGGAAGATATTATGGAGCCGGGCGTACTTGGCTGGTAGTTCGACCCGGTATGCCTACGTGCCGATCCTTTCCGTAATCTTGACTAGGATGAACCTTAGTACTAGCTTCCTTCCTACCTTGAATCGGAAATTCTATATAGAGAGTCCAACTATCTCTCCTACTTCGAATTCGATCCACTAGTATCGTACGTCGTAGTATTTCTTCTAGGAGTCTACTACCTTCTGCTAGTAGTAGTACAACCTCTCCCTTAGGTATGCTAGCTTGCTCAGCCGCTCGTGAACCCCTTATACCTTCAGCTATATAGAGGGTACGTAATACGCCATCCGAGGATTGTAGCCGTATAGGGCCTCGAACGGGCTCGCTCCGATAGTTACGTATACGCTATTATTATACGTAAACTCCGCTTCGTAGAATAGTAGTGCCCACTGGGCCTCTTCGTCGGTAAAGTACCTTAAATAGTACTATAGGCTTTGGTATGTTCGTTCCGACTGGCTATCGGTCTACGGGTGGTAGGCTATTGAGAGCCTCTACTTGACTTGGCGAGCTTTAGAGAGCTCTATCTAGAAATTGCTAGTTAATAGGGAATCTCGGTCGGAGACTATACCTATTAGTATACCAAATCGGCATTCTATATACTCGTAGAGTAGCTGGGCTAACTCGGCTGCCGTAACCGTAGTAGTAGTTGGGATAAAGAGCGCGGTTTTCGTAAACCGGTCTATAACTACTAGGATAGTATCTACGATACGGTCCTTATACTAGTAAGGGGGTAGCTTCGTAATAAAATCTAGGCTAATCTCTTCGAAAGGTTAGGTAGGTAGCGGTAGGGAGCTGAGCTTCCCGTATAGCTTGTGCCTTAGTTATCGGTTACCGAGGCATACCTAGTACTATTTTATATAAGCTTATACTTCTACGTCTAGATTTTCCTAGTAGAATCTTCGCTTTAATAGGTCCACTATCTTATAGCTCCCAAAATGCCCGGCTCTGGGGTTATCGTAGTATAAGCGTATTAGCTCTCTTCGTACTGCTGGCGCTACTGGGATTACCAGCCTGCCTTTATATCGGAGGGCCCCCTTATTATTAACGCTATCGTTTCCTAGCCTACCCTAGAACCCAGTACCTACACGCCTTATATTATTATTCCCTAGTTTCCCTATAGGCCTAGTACCCGCGTTATTAACGCTATTATTTCCTGGTCTACCCTAGAATCTAGTACCCATACGCGTATTATTATTCCCTGGTTTCCCTATAGGCCTAGTACCCGCGTTTCTTTAATCCTCGAGCACCTCCTTAATACGGCTTCTATATTCGAGATCCCCTTTCTATAGGGCGATAATCGACCTATAGAATCTATACCTAGGATCCTATTCCTTAGCTACCTCACCGGCGCAAACCTCTGCCGCAACCGCGTAAGGAATTAATAGGTCGGCACCCTAAGCGTCTGGCTTTAGTTACCCCTCGACCCTCTAATCTAACCGCCCCGGCGAGATCGTCTACTCTAGCGAGTCCGTAGTAGTTCTCCTAGTACGGCGTCCCAGCCCCTCCGTCGGGGTACTTCCGTCCCGCTAGTGGCTCCTTTCCCGGGGCTCCGCTTTATCAAACGCCACGCGTCCGGTGGCCCCGAGGGCAAAGCGCGTTATAGCCGAAACCCTAGCCACACCTTTAACTCGAGGATATTAAAGGGTCTATTCAACTCGTCTCGCCGCTCTACGGTACTTCCGGGAGCACGACTTCTTCTATACCCCGGCCTTAATCTAGGCCACGATTACCCTCACTACTACTAGCAACTCCCTAGCCAACTATAGCTTCTTCGTTAAGGTAGGTAATATATCGTCGTAGGCAATCTCTCCTGCTATATAGTCCGGTCTTCTTAAAAGGGGGTCGGCGGGGTTAGTAGCCCTAGGTCGATATTCGAGGTCGAAATCGAAAGGAGATAGGCGGTATACCCATTTAGCTAAGCGGCCCTTAAGGTCTCGGGCTGGGGCTACGATTACCCCTTTTAAGGCCTCGTAATCGGTAAGAACTACGAACCTCTAGTCGGTGCCGCCTAGGTAGTGGCCCTAGTACTCGAGGGACTCGATAATAGCGATAAGTTCCTTCTACCCGGTAGCCTACCGGAGCTCGGTATCGGTGAGCTTCCTTAACTAGTAGGCTATAGGGCGCTATTAAGAGTCGACTAGCTATAAGAGGATCCCGGAGATCGCCTTATTACTAGTATCGGTCTCGACTCTAGTCTGGCGGGTTGGATCCTAGTAGGTAAGGAAACCTACTTGACTAAACGCTACTTTAAGGTAGTTGAAGGCGGCATCGGCCTCTAGTGGCCATCGGAAAGGGTTAGTGGCCTCTCCTTTTAGTAGTGCGGTAATGGGGGCTGTAATCCTAGAATACCCCTGGATAAACCGGCGGTAGAAGTTGGCGAATCCGAGGAAGACTTATATCTCTCGTATTAACTGGGGTACGGGCTATTCTTGGATTACCTTAACCCGCTCGAGGTCTATTGAGATACCTTAATGGTTAATAATGAAGCCTAGGAACTCGACTTGGTCCTAGTAGAAGGAGCATTTTGACCGTTTAGCGAAGAGCTGGGCTTGTTCGAGACGGTCGAGTACCTCTAGGATATAGCGGGTATGCTCCTTACGGGTGGTGGAGTAGATAAGGATATTATCGAGGTAGACGATACAAAATACATCTACTAGGCCGGCTAAGGCCCTATTAATATAGGCTTGGAAGGTGGCCGGCGCGTTAGTCAAGCCGAACGGTATAATAGTATATTCGAATTGGCCGTAGCGGGTCTTGAAGGCTGTCTTCTATTAATCGGTCTTACGGATCCGGATCCGGTGGTAAGTATCCTTAAGGTCGAGCTTAGTAAAGAACCGGGCACCTATAAGGCGGTCTATAAGGTCGCTAATAAGTAGTAGAGGGTACCGGTTCTTAATAGTGATCTTATTTAGGCCCCGGTAGTCGACGTATAAGCGTATAGTTCTATCCTTCTTAGGGACGAAAATAACTGGGGCTCCGGCAGGGCTACTACTTTCCACGATACGGCCGTTAGCGAGGTTCTCCTAGATATAGAGAGCTAGTTCGTCCAATTAGGCTTGACTAAGGGGATAAATATGGCCCTACGGCGGTATAGACCCCTTTATAAGATCGATATAGTGCTTGGCTCCTTCGAAGGTGTTGGGCTCCCGAGATGCTTATTCCGAGAAGACGGCTAAGCGGTATGCGAGCTCCGGGGGTAAAGGTTCTGGGTTTAGCTCCTACATCGGGCCGTCGAGGGTATCGATATAGTCCTCCTCGGGCCCGATAACCACGTTAGAGACTATAGCCGTAAAGGCGGGTACGCCGTTAAGGACGTCTCGGGCGAATTCCCCCGGTAGGATCTCCGAGTAACGGCCCTATTCGAAGGCGTTAAGGGTAGTATGAAGAACCACGCCCTCTAATCCCATACCCGGGTTCCCCCATAGTATTGGTAGGGCCCCCTTTGGCCGCTTAACCCCGTAGAAGAATTAAGATACGGTACGGGGGTTCCCGTATATATTAGTAAGTTGGAGAGTAAGGTGGAAAATGCCGTGGTTCTTAATCCGGCTACCGTTAGGGTTAATAAGCTGCGGTAGGTCGAGGCCTTCGGCCTCCGGGAGTATAGGGATATAATATACCCGGCAGAACCGGTGATCTACGTAATTAACTTGGGCCCCCGTATCGGCATCAATGACTACCGTTAGTAGTGCGGCCTTCTGGCTACGGCGCCAGGAGCGAGTGCTACCTTAGATGGTGAAGGTAGGGCCCGGCTTTACCCCCTCAAAGATGGCCTGGGTAGATCGATCGGGGTCGTCGTCTACCGCCTCTCGTTTTCCGAGTCGTCTTCTGAGTCGGAGGGTTCCGGATATAGGTCACCGGGGTCCTCACCATTCTCCGTACCGATATTCTGGATCCTGGTATCCGAGCCCGGTGGGGCCGTAGTGCGTAGGAGGGTACATTGGCGTTGCACGTGTCCTGGCTTGCTACAGTTATAGTACGTAATCGGCTCTCTAGTATGGAGAAGGGCCTATACGTTGGACCCGGTGACTGGTTGTACTGGGGTGGGAGGTGTATCCTTTGTTGGTAGATCCCGGAGTTCCCTTCGTTAGATCCGGGCTTTATCGTAGCGGGGCCCGGAGTAAGCTTCCTCCATAGTACGTAGTAGTTTCCGGGCTTTATCGAGGCTGGTGGGGGAGCCTATCCGCTTTCGGTAGGTTTCTTTATCGTTGCCGTTCCGTAGGTAGGACCGGATTAACTAGATACGTTCGCACTATTCGGCATAGTCCTTTACTGAGGTAACGTTAGGGACGGCCTCGGCGTATCGGCTATAGTAAAAACGGTCTAGTTTAATCCAATAGTCCCGTACTATAAAGGGGCTTTCGGTATCCATTCCGGGGAGTCGTCTAACTAGGGCGGCCTACTCTCTATAGAACTCCTGGGGTGATCTCCCGCGTTGGGTATAAACTAGCCAGTCTTTGTATGCCTGGACTTCTCCGGTCTTGCTGCCAAGGTAGTCCGAAGTGACGTAGTCCTTGAATTCCTGCTATACGATTCGTTCGAAGTCCCCGTCGTGGAGCTGCTTCTGGTAAGCCCGCTATTATTGCTGCGTTTCCGGCTCTATCCAGGTACTGGCCTATTGGACTTGGAGCTATTGAGGTCGGTCTTG